TGTTTGCACATAATAACCACTCTCCTACACGGTTTCTTTATTTGTTTTTAACAGCAGAATTAATATTTATCCATTTATGGACAAATATAGGCTACATGCATATAAACCGCTTTGTGCCGTGCTGCTCATATTTATCACGCAGTAATGCCCCTCCCCGCGCCCAAAACGGGTTGCCTGTGGATGAAAATCCAAAACAAGGACTGGTGGTTCGTTCGCGAACCGGACATCACTAGTGGGAGGTTGTCCTGCTCCACTTCACAGTTGCCGAGTGAAAGGAGAGTTTTATAATGACAGGACAGGCATTTATACAACACACATTCAAAAGGAAGAAACGCTCGTTCCGCGCGTCATACGTCATTATGCTATTTCTGCTTCATTACACATGCGCAGTCCTTTCAGTTTCGGGGTTCAACTTCAATCCGATCGAGTGTTTACATGCACTCTCAATCGTATTAGAAAAGTAATAAACCACCCCCTTCAATCCGATCGAGCTCAATCGGATCGATTAAGGTGTTTACATGAAGGCTTTTCAGTCCGATTGAGCCGTCAATCCTATTACAAACGGATTAATGTTATTTGGTTGCATGTAAATGTAGCCAGTGTAAACACATACACAGAAACAAATAGCCTACTAACCTTCTTGCAAGCCCAAAGTCAATTATCTTCACCTTGTTTGTTTGTCGACTGACACAGAGAATGTTTTCAGGCTGTTGACAGAGTAAACACAGGTATTTCAAACTTCTTGTTCTTTTTTATGCTGCTGTTAAAATGCATATTATTAACAAGAATGTGTCTGGTACCTTTAGGTCAAGGTGTAATATGTACATCTTGTGCATATACTGAAGCCCTTCACTGATCTGTCTGATGAACAGAACTGTGTCCAACTCGGTCAGCTTGTAGTTCTCATCTATGATCCGGTCAAACAGCTCTCCGCCATCAACACTAGGGGGTACACAGGGTACACAAAATACACATAGAAACAAAGCATGAATGAGATTCAGTTAGTGAGAGAGAATGTCTGTGTGTGGAATGTGTTTTTCGATGTAACTTACTACTCCATCACTAGAATGATTTCATGTCGAGATTCAAAGGCGGCATAGAGCTGGATCAGATTGGCATGATTCAACTGGTTCATCACTTCAATCTCACACTTTACTACCTCCTGACAACACAAACTTGTATGAAAATCAATGATTCATTACAATTAATTTATTATGGTTTTAAAGCAGTGGTTCGAGGACCAGTGTTAATATTATCTAAAAACTAGCTAAACTAAATTAATACTATGAGAAAATGTTAATAAAAGTAAAGCTGAAATAAAATACAATATAAATATTAGATGTAAAATTTAAATTAAAAACCTAGAAAATAAGGAAATTACTAAAACTGAAATATAAAAAAAAGAAAAATGACAAAAGCAGATAACCACGTTACTAAATTACTACACATTACTGAAAATACAAAAATAAAAGCTGATTCAAAACATTAATCAACACTATAATAGTATACATATAATACTAAAAATATCACTGTTGTGGGTCACCAAGTGGTCCATAAGTTAATTGGGTGATTTAAAAAAAAAAAACGTAATGATGTCATCATTACATTACTTAAAATCATTACATTACGCAGGCATTTACCTTCTCTTTCTGACTCCTGGCTTTAATGATCTTGGCTGCTAATATGAGGCCAGAAGATTTCTCTACACATTTGTGCACCATGCCAAAGCGTCCTCTATCAAAATCAAAATAAGACAATAAGAAACACATTTAAATCACAAAATCTGGAAACTCCTCCTGTCTCTCGGTATTTACTTTCACTAAGGGCTAAAAATATTCCGCATGTCTCACTCTCTCAGCGTCTTTCTTTCCCACACACACACACACACACACACACCTGTCTGTCACTTTCATGCCCTTGTGTATCATGTGTCCTGTAAGCTCTTAAAATGCTTAGCAATCTTATGCCATGGGTTCAATGTCACAGGCATCATACTTTAAAAATTCCTTTGATGTAAAGAAATCTAATATAATATGATGCAACATAAATACTAACTCACCCTCCAAGTACTTCCTCTTTATTGATAGTGTAGTAACTTGTAATCTGGTGGGTTTTGGTTGTCACTAGACGGTGCTCAAATGGTGCAGGTGGAGGAGGGGAAGAATCTGTAGAAAAGATTGGGAAATGTAACTACAAAAAGGGAAATATATTTACAGTTATTCTTAGACTATTTTCTTACCAATGACATATTCGTCAATTACTGGCTCTGCATCTTTCCTCTCCTCTTCTGTCCCCTCCTCTGGTCTCTCTGGTCCCGCCTCTGCAGCTTCAAGTCCTGCTTCCTCTTCCTCCTTCAATTCCTTATCCTCCTCCTCCACTCGGCTTTTTTTAAGTTCATCTGTCAGATTCTCGTCAGTAACATGCCTCTTAGTGCTGAAAGTTATTTCCAGATTCTCCTCACAGCTACATGAATATATAAATTAAAAGAGAGGTAATATAAAATATCTCTTATCTTAGTATCTTATTAAAATATATATATTTTAAAATATAATTCATTATATAAATCCATCATATTTTGAATATTGTTTTGAATACTGTTGTATTTCGAATATTGAGCAGCAAATCAGCATATTAGAATGATTTCTGAACATTTAGCTTTGCCATCATAGGAATACATGACATTTTAAAATATATTCAAACAGAAAAAGTTCAATTGTAATAATAGTACACAATATTACTGTTTTTATTGTATTTTGATCAAATAAATGCAGCCTTTGTGAGAATAAGATACCTATTTCAAAAATATTAAAAAGTCTTACAGTCCCAAAACATTGTAGTAGTAGCGTATTTACAATTTATTTGAACCAAATTCGCATCTGAATATCCAGGACATACCTTTCTGGTGTGACCGTAATGCTTTCATCTGTCTGGCCAGATGAGTTCAGAGCAGCGAGCTGGCTTTCATCAGATAACCATAAAGCCTCCTCTTGATTTAACCTTTCATCTTCCTCCTTTTTGTCCTCCTCTTTTATCTGTAATAATTCAGCAACAATTTCTTGCTCTCTTGCCTCTTCTTCCACTGCATCCTGTTGTTTGTCATCTTTTCTTTCTCTATATTTCTCTCCTTCTTGCTCTTCTTCAATAAGATCCAGATGTGCAGCTGTGCTGACTGCTGTCTCTGCCGTGCATTGAGAAAGCTGATTGTTCTGTTGGTTGAGCTTCTGCACTTCTTCAAATCCAGCCTGGACTAAGTCTTGAAAAGGAGGGGGAAAGAAATTAGTACAAAGAACAAAGAATCTTAAACATTTCTTCTTCATTTCATGTCAAACATGTCTTTGTATTAAATCAGACAAAATGCTGAAAGTTTCAGTTTATTTACAGATTACAATTATATTTTCAATGTGATCTCTGGCTTTTAAACTCTATTGTATGTTTTTTTTTCCCTCACCTGATGCATCCAGTGGTTTCTTTTTCTTCTGGGTTTTTAAACCTTTTTGGTACACTTTAGATTTCTCCTTCCCATCCTTTTCTCTAAACTAGAGAGAGAGAGAAAAAACAACAGCAGAGCAAGAATGAAGAGAAGAGGACATTTATTAAAAAGGACAGAGGTATAAGTATCTATGAAAAGTATAAGCATATGGTCACAAGTGAAGTGTCATAATAACACAAAGTCTAACCAGTGTAAAAAAACAACAATGATCCTTTATTAACACTCCTTTAAATAAAAACACCTGCTTTCAGTGACACGTACATACATTCAAATGCTCTGAGCTGCTAACGTGCAATGAATCTGATATTTCTGATCACACACAATCATCTTATGAGCTGAATGCACAGTTGTGTCCTTGAGCTGCTACTGAGAATCACTCATCATGTCATCGGTCAATCTGCTTTATAAATGGCTCGAGCCAATGACAAGGACAATGAACCCATGAAAAGCCCCTGGTGGAAATGCAGCACAGCTAGACACAAAAATAATTTGGAAAATAAAGAAAGAAAAAAGAACATTTAATGCATATGCATCCAGCTTTTTTGTTTTCAATATTTATGCAAAGATAAAGAACAAACTTCACACAACATAAAAAGCAAATGTGAACAATTCATGGGTAAGATAAACATATTTCCTCTCTTGTACAGAAGTCCACTTTTGTGCAACAATAACCTCTTTTTAATTCATTCATCAGGTCAGCTGCTTCACAGATTTGACTAACTAATGCTAATTTTGCACATAAGTGTTTGTATACTGAAAAAAGTGTCTTTGTTAATGTGTTTGGCTCATTCGTTCACTGTAGTTTGTACTTGTTTTCATCTGTACTTGAAATATGTATCCAAATGAGTAATTTCAAACACTGAATTGGTGCATAAAACATCTAAACTCACCCTGCTGCTGGATTTTGAGTGTGTGTTTTTCAAGAGATCGGCCAATCTGGAGTGTTTCAACACTTCAGCAACAAAACTGACAACCTGCTGAATGCCGCTGACTAGTCGCTCCAAAGCATCAAGTCGCTGATCCTGTTGTTCCTCCTTCTCTCGAACAGTTTCTATAACAACACGCACATCGCACAACATCTGCTCCATGCTTCGTCCACCTGCAGCTGTGCCTTGATCTTGGCCGATGGTATCCAGTCTTTTCAGAGACGCTTCCTGCAGGGCGAGGAGTTTGTCCATCTTATCACTCAGATCATTGACTTGTCCTTCAATATGTACAAGAGCAGAAGGTGAGGAGGATTTTGATGAAGGCTGATCAGAAATCGATGAAGATGGATGTTTGTTTGAGGTAGAAAGTGAAGCTCTTCTTGCTGTTGCTCTTCCACCGTTCAATCGTTTCTGAGCATGAAGTGGTTTGGGGTCATAAACCCGAGCAAGAGACTTCACAAGATTAGAGCTCATGATGACACTTTAAAACAAGTTAAAACAAATAGAAGTTTAGCTTATTTTCTTCACGTCCTCTTGAAAATGCTTCCCAACCTACAGCTCATTTGTTCTCATTCTCTTGCTATCTCTCTGTCTGGTGTCTTCAGCTTCAAAACCTATGCTTTTTATAGGGGTCAGCATGCTTCTTCCTATTGGCCGGTGTGTGAGTGGTAAATGTAATGTCGCTGTTATCTTCTGGAGGAGGGGCTGCGGTGTTAGAGTGTGAATCCTAGAGCCAGGTGTGTAAACATTGAAACCAGAGTGGGTGCGAGAAAAAGAGCCTGATGGACTCAGAGAGTGACATATCGACGACAGCACTGACAGATCTTTTCAATGTAAAGACTGTTAAACCAGTAGATTTCTCCTGATCGACTGACAATCAACACCCACAGATAAAGGGACTGTGTTCATATGTTACTGTACAGAACTCTGATCCCTTTGTTCCAGGCTAGAGAACGCAATGAGCCACAATGAGCCAAGTGCAAATGTGTGATTGAACAAGAGCAGGTGCGCACAGCTGAGTCTATTGAAAAACTGGGACAGAATAGTTGTTGGGACATTGAAATGGCTCAGACTTCTATTTTCAATGTGGCTCCACTGTCTTGTTATTCTACGAAGCTCTATATGAGCCTGAATTTGAACTGCATGAGAAAAATGCTTTTGAACTTGAAATAAAACAAAAACTACTAGACTGTGTTTTAGAAGTAAAGACAATTTTTCTTTCTACTTCAAAATTTCATGTTTATCAGTGTTTATCATGTTCATCAATTGAATGTGTTATTTGCCGTTTCTTTTTGTTTAATTGTGAGGTTTACTAGCAATTTCTGAGTGAAAACTCAAAACTGTTTCAACACCAATTCTTTCTTTAATAGAAAGAAAACATGTAGACAGAAATTTAAATGTTTGCTGTGATGTTTGTCCCCACAGTTATGAGAAAATATGTAATATAATATCAAGGAATGTTAAAACTGTGATTCCCAAAGATCTAAAAAAGTCCTAGAAATTATAACATTTAAAACAGTCTACAGTTTCTAGTGGCTATTTATTCCAGTTATTTATTATTTGTTATAGAATAAACAAATGATTCAATATTTTTCCTAAATTTAAGTTATGTTCAGCTCAAAATATTTAATTGACTAAAATTACTAAATGCTTTGAAATGATTAAAAAATGCTTTTTAGCCTTCATTCAGAAAAGCATCAACAACTGGAAAAGTTTAAAAAAACTGGGAAGATCCTGTATAAAATCATGGAAATTTCTACAATCAATATACATATTTGGTAACACTTTAATAAGGTTCCATTTGTTGTACAATGCATTAGTTAACATGAACATTATTAATCTTAATGTTAATTTCAACATTTACTAATTAATTATTAAAATAAAAAGTTAATATTATCTGTTAATATTATTTAATGGACCTGAGCTAACATGAACTAACAATAAACAGTTGTACTTTTATTAACTAATGTTAACAAAGATCAATAAATACCGTATGTATTGCTCATTGTTAGTTATTGTTAGTTAATGCATTAACTAATGGGACCTTACTGAAAAGTGTTACCAAATATTTCTATAGTTATGCTCAGCTTAAAATACTTAATTGGCTATAAATTATTGTTGACAAATGTAATATCTAAACAAATGTTTTTTTTTTTTAATCCTTGAGAATCCGGGAAAAACCATAGTAATGAAAAAGTTATATATAAAGAGTGAGTAGAAATCCTTTTCTGTGGCAATTGACAGTGTGCCACAGATGCTGTCAATAGAGCTTAACTTAATATGTAACGAGGAATTTTCCTTTAAAATCATTCCAGCACCCCTCTAGCCTCTAGAGACAATCCACAGACAGGTGCTACAGTGTACTTTTACCATAAACAGATAGATATAGTCCTGCTAAACGCCCTTTTCACACGCTACACTGTAACCCGATAGCTTGTAAATATTAACAAAACAACTAATCAGAGGGACCGATAACATAGCTAAGCGTACAATAATCTTATTTTAGCCTGGATCGTTGTGTGCCACACTGTATGTGATAGACCACTCCATTAAAAGCATACAGTTGATTGCTTGGAGGAATAATGGTTTGTTTTCTGATTGGCTGATGTATTAATAGCTAGCCACTGAACATTCAGTAATCTCGAGAGGATTGGTGACGCCTTTGGTATGGGAACTTGATAATGTGAAGTGAGCTCCACCGTTCTGACAACAAGAGCTTATAAAAAGGGACTAAGTGCTCACATTCCTTTGTGTGATGGAGAGTGTTTGTGTACGTACATGCCTGACTGTGTGTATTTGTGATTTAATTACTGGTTACAAAACCATCTAGCCTCACATGGAGATGGAATGAAGTGTCATTTATGAATACATAATTATATTAGAATGTGTTTTGCAATAGAAATGCATTTCGTTGCATAAAACACATGGGTTCAATCAGAGGGACTGTCACTCACCCATGATGACTTTTATCCACTGGAAAGATTTTGCATGAATCTACAAGATCAAATCAGCATATTAGAATGATTTCCGAAGGATCATGTGACACTGAAGACTTGAGTAATGGCTGCTGAAAATGTATATTTGCCGTGGCAAAAATAAATTACATTTTAAAATGGATTCATAGAGAAAATAGTTATTTTTGAATGGCAATATTTCTTGTTTTTACTTTATTTTTGCTAATATATTCAGACTTGCTGATATTTCTTATATTAACGGGCGGAGTATGGCACTCATGTTTCCTTAACATATTGGAAAGAGGCTGATAAACAAACAGAAATTTAACGAGATGGAATAGAAGGTAATGGCATCGCATGTGTTACATAATGGGGTAACATGATATGACGGCCCTGAAGAGATGATAGCGTGTAGAATATGTGTAGAATGACAAACAGGACTTGTACTTTAGCAGCTGCAGACTGATTGTAGCCTATAAACTGTCTGACAGTCACAGCAGATGTCACATAACTTCAGTGCTGCAACAAAAGGTGTTAAACATCAGAGTAATACACGAACAGATGTTAAAAACACATTATCATTTGATATGATAATCACATTAGTGTTTTATCATGATTTTAGATTTGGTAAAATGCACTGTAAACCCGAACAGTACTACTAACTTATAAAGATTAAAACTGCAGTCCGTAAGTTTTGCCTCTTTGTCGCCATCTCTGTTTAAAAGCCTGGAATTGCAGCTGTGTGCGGAATTATCTTCCTATGATAGCCTAGTAGCCGGGACAACTTCTTTATGTTTACAGACGTGAGGTAATGCTCGAATTCCCCTTGAAAACCTACCATACCACTCAAATTAGAAAACATTATTATAAGACAACCGTTGTGAAATTGGGCTAAAGTAAGGCGATAGTTTTGAACACTGGCTGGTTATGTATTTGCTCAAATATTGATTTCGGATCATTTTTAACCAAAAAAAGTTACGGACTGCAGCTTTAAAGTCCCCATGAAATCAAAATTAAAGCTTTTTGGGTGTTAGTATCAATATGTTAGTCTTAAGGTTAACAGTGACAAAATTCACATTTAGAAGATATAAGCATTCAAAGCTTGCAGTTCGTCACTTAAACGGCTCAACGATATTTTTTTTTTGACGTCACATCGTACTTCAGCTTCTCATCAAACTTTCTGTCCAATCAAATGCTCTCTAGAATCCGAAGCGCCCGCCCCCTACACTATAAAATAGCCACTATCCTCCAATGAAATCGGTCACTCTGTCACAGAATTAGTATTTTCTGTACAGTGAATGGCACGTAGTGCACTATATAGGGGACAGGGAACGATTCAAACAGTGTAAATATGCTTTCCATGGAGGAAAAAAAGAAGTCTGGTTCTCTTTCATCTCGTGTTCAAGATCCACCTATGGGATGCCCTTCCCATAGGTGGATCTCTCCACTCGATGTTTCAGAGAACCGGGGTTACGACAGTAACCTATTGTTTCGCGCTGTCACGCTAACCACCGCACACACTGCTCCGGTCCAGAGACACGATAGCACGGAGGGGATCACATGCGCGAGTCGGCGCAGACCACAAAATGTATCGGAGCTATTTGAATTCTACACAGAATGCTATATTTTATAGCAATATGGATGAGATTGTCCCTGGCATACCCTGTCAAATGCAGCTTTACGGATCTCAGCGGCTGAACGGCTCTAGCCCACGCTGTGATATAAACAAACGCTATTGGCTATTTTAAAAATGTCTTGATATTTACTTTGAAAGCTTGAAGCTTGCGATTATGGTAAGGGGCGTTACATTTCCGACGCGTGCTTGTGGTGTTCGGCCAATCACAATGCACTGGGTCAGCTGGCCAATCAGAGCAGACTGTGCTTGTCAAAGGAGGGGGCTTTGTTGAAAATGACGTGTTTGAGAGAGGCGGGGCATAGAGGACCTACAATAATGTACAGTATTTGAAAAAGAATGTGTTTTTTTTTAACATTAAAGCATGTCAACATATTCTGTTACACCAAATACACCAAATAATGATCTTTAAAATAGCATCATATGACCCCTTTAAACTGTGACAGTTAATGTGATATACCACAAGGGGGCAGAGATTACATACAACTGTATGCCAGAAATCTACTTTGTAGGAACCTAATAGAAACATCAAGGATTCATATACAATATCAATTCATGGTTTAACAACAATAATTCAACTAAATAACAACACAATGTTTTTCTGTCCTTGTATGACAACCCTGCCCCCAGAACAACCAGTCTGAAGGTGATGACAGCCCATAAAATCAGACTGCTGCTGAATACCTCTTTAACTACCTGAAAAGACTGAGTGTCAATCACCTTTTTAATGCCTCAAAACTAATCCACTTATAAATGTGTTAGATGGATCATGCTGGCACAAGCAAGTGGAAATGTCTGCACTGGCCAGAGAATATGCATTTGCGTGTGTGATGAACAAATGTACAGGTGCGACAGTAACCGTACACCAACAATGCAATCCTTACTCGAAACTGTAAGCAGAGAACTTTAAAACCGGTGTGGGTGTGCATATATGTGCACATGTATATGTCCACAAGAGTGTGTTTGCTGCATCTCGATGTCAATGTATGCATATA